GGAAACCCCATCTAGTTTTCCTCCAGGGAGAAGGGACTAGAAGCATTCTTTGGGAAGGGCAAGTACAGAGTAATGGGGCTGCACCTCAACCCTGAGCCCTTTGGGGGTCTGATGAGCCTAGGTACCCTTCTAGCCCCAGAGCCAAGTAGTACAGAGAGCCAGGAGAGGCTGCTAGAGATAAGATCTGAATGGGGCCACTGCTTGTGGGGATGTCAGCAGAGGGGAGGAGTGGAGCTGGATGGGGCTGGGAGACTGAAGTTAATCACTTCAAGTTCTGCTCAGGACCATCACCACCCCTTGCACACTGTTAATCACAGCCACAAATGGTCACTGGGACCTGGGTATGGGCAGATGGGCCGGTGGCTTGCCACCGGCCGATCTGGAGAGGATTAGGGCTCCAGCCAACAAGGTCAGCTAGCCCTTTCTGGCTGAAGCCTGTTCACCCTGGCCAGGAAGTCTGGACAAGCAGAACCTGGTCTGGGGTGCAATGAGGAGGGAGGGTGGTGGTTTAGTCGCTAAGTCATGACTGACTCTTGCGACCCCATGGACAGAGGAGCCTGGCAGGCTACAGTGCATGGGATTCTCCAGGCAAGAATACTGGAGTAGGTTGCCATTTCCTTCTCCAAGGGATCTTCCCAACCCAGGAATCGAACTCCGGTCTCCTGCATTATAGGCGGATTCTTTACCAACTGAGCTACAAGGGAAGCCCAAGGAGGGAGGGTGGAGCATGGTAAAGCACAGGTGGCCTTTTTTTTTTCAGCCCCAGCCCTGGCTTTGAAAATGTCTAGGCAGTTTGCAAAGCCCTCTTAACTCAGTTGTCCCACTGACCCTCATGAATGAGATGGCAAGGTAAGTATCTTCTGCTTCATGCAAATAGTTGTTCAAGACCCAGAGAGGGTAAGAAAACTGGCCTGAAAGCATCCAACACATCTCATTCTTTCTGGGGTCTTTGGCATACAATAAAGACTACTAAGGCTTCCTCTTCCCCCAGGAAGTCTAGCTATAAAGGAGAGTCATTTGGTGTTTTCTGCCCCTCCACCCAGACTTCTGTGGTGGATAGGCTGTAGAGAATCCACCTGCAATGCAGGAGACTCAGGTTCGATCCCTGAATTGGGAAGATCCCCTGGAGAAGGAAATGGCAACCCACTCCAGTATTCTTGCCTGGGAAATCCCACGGACAGAGAAGCCTGGCGGGCTACAATCCATAGCGTCCCCAAAGAGTTGGACACACCTCAGCAACTCGCCACCAACAACAGTACCCCTTTATCCAGTCTTCTTTCTCATCTCACCTCTTTTCCTTGCCCTGGTATCAGGCATGCACCTGACAATAAAAGTGAAAGTGAAAGTCAGTTGTGTCTGACTCTTTGTGACCCCATTCGTGGAATTCTCCAGGCCAGAATACTGGAGTAGGTAGACTTTCCCTTCTCCAGGGGACCTTCCCAAACCAGGGATCAAACCCAGGTCTCCCACATGGCGGGTGGATTCTTCACCAGCTGAGCCACATGGGAAGCCCAAGAATCTTGGAGTGGGTAGCCTATCGCTTCTCTAGCGGATCTTCGTGACCCAGGAATTGAACCAGGGTCTCCTGCATTGCAGGTGGATTCTTTACAAACAGTGATCAGGAAGCCCACACCTGAAAATGGGAGTTGGTAAATGAGTTCTGAGGAGAGTTAGGACCTTAAAGTGTTAGTTCTCTTAGGAGTGCTTGCATTTTCTAAAGAGGGCACAACTGAGCATAAGTCTTGCTCAAATGTGGGGTTTTAAGTCTTCAGCCTCTCTTTTCCTTTTCTGGTCCCTCTTGAGTATACTCCTTGTTCTGCCAGTAGGACTGTCCTGGAGGAGCTGTGGGCCAGGGCCATTGGAGACAAAGCCTTGTAGTTTGGGCCGTCACTTAAGTAATTCCATCATTTCCTGGACCCTCAGTTTCCTTATCTGAAAAATACCACCCAGTTCCCAGCACCCACCCAGCCACCAACTCCCAAGGCTGTGAGGTGACTAAATGGGACAGTGTTTCATTGCTGGACAGAGGGCATCACCAATGGGGAGATTCTCTCAGTTCTGAGGGAGCCATCCAAACTTGGGGGAGGTGTAAATGGGAGTGGGCTGAAAGGGCTGGTGGAGCAGGGTCTATTTGGGGGTTCTCCTCTAAAATCAGAGGAGGTTTTAGACACAGACCAGCTGAGACCCAGAGAAAGGAATTTCTTATCCCTCCCATTCCCCTTGTCTGCCTGAGGTTATTTATTCATCTAACAGATTTATTAAGCACCTACTTACTATGTGTCACCAAAATGATGAGCAAAATGGACATAGCCCCTACCTTCAAGGAACATAGAGCCTAGAGGGGAATACAACCATTTCATTGCCATAAATAGAGGCATAAACCCAGGCTGGGCCAAGTCCTCTGAGATTACAGACTCTGGCCTGACCCAGTACTGTGTCCTCAGCACTTTGGCACTTAGTAGGTACTATAATACTTACTAAATACTTGCTGAAAGAAGGCCACCCTGAGGAGGTAATGTCAGAGCTGAGGCTTTGGAGTTAAAGATGATTTCATGGCTTCCTTTGCCTTCTTTGTGGGTCCTGCCTCCCTCCTTACCTCCTGCACTCAGACCAACAGTGAGCATCTGATAAGGATGTCAGAGTCCCCTGGTGTCCTGCAGAGGAGTCTGGATGCCTTAGGTGGCCCCAAGCTCAGGGATGATTTGCCCTGATGGTGCATGTTATCTGCCCCCCTTTATGGGTATGTTCTAGAACAAAGTTCAACCCAGAGATAGGGGTTAGAGGATGGTCTGGGTGCTGGATAAAGGTGTGCGGTCTGCTGACCCTCAGGAAACCTGACCATTGGATTAGGCAAGCCTTTCTGGCTTCATTTTCTTTGTTAAGGGGGCGGGGGGTGATTAGAGTAGGGCCTCTTTCCCTGATCTTGTCTGGGAAGGGCAAGCCAACTCAGCGGACTGCTGACTGCCCAGAGGGAAAAAGGTGTCAGACTCTGAGGGCATACTGTAATAAATAGTCCTCTCTCCCAGAAGACCACTGAGAGTTCAAGACTGGCGCTGGGCGCAAGCCGGAATGAGAGCAGAGACTCCCGCCAGGAGAGAAAGGCACTTCTTCAAGGATCTGCTCATTAGCATGAAATGCAAAAAGCCCGGCCTCATTTGCACAACTAGGTGCCAGATTCGGCGAAAGGGCAACCTGGGAGGCAGCAACCGCTCTGCCCTCCCCACTGCATTCCTTGAAACCCCCCCGGGAGGGAGCTGAGACACCCACCCAACTCGGCAGGAGGCGTGGGTGACGCAGCCTTGGGAGAGCGAAAAACGCCAGGGAGTCGGGGTGAGAGTGGGGGGATGACGGGTGTAGGAAGGTCATCCAGTCCATTCCTCTGCCTCTCGGCGGTGGCACGTAAGCGGCCCTGAAGTCTCCAGAGAACTAACTGATCTGCTTGGTTGCACAGTGTCTACCTCCAGCAGAGGTGGGAAAGCGCTTTCCGACGCCTTAATCCTGGATGCCCTCTCCGTCCCACTTCACTCCAGAGCCCCGCTCCAGGGTACACACCGCCTCTAGGGGTAGCGCTGCGGGAGAGAGGGATCTGGGGCCGACAGAGCCGGACGATTCAGGAGGGAGAGGCGGGGTGAGGGCCGGGGTCTGCGCCCGTGTGCGTGAGCGTGAGTAGCAGCAAACCCTCGAGGACCTGCTCGGGGTAAGGTGGAAATGTGCGAGGAGAGTAGCCCTGCCAGTCTGCTTTCCTGCAGACAGGCATATTGGAACTCGGGAAGGAGAAACTGAGGCACTGAATGCAGGCTTCGTGAAACTGCAGGTTGAGTCGGCAAAGACCAGTTCTATGCTTCCACCGCCTCTCACACACTGGAGACCTCTGCAAGTCCCTTGGCAGGAAAATCCCCTTTCTCTGCAGTTGCTCTTAGAGATCTGGGCTCTGGGTCCATTGTGACCTGCCTGGGGCCATGTGTTCAAGCACGAAGCCCTCTCCGGAAGCTCATGAGTGTCAACATGAGATCAAGGTCAGCAGGTTAAGGTTAGGAGATTAGGGTCAAAGTAGCAAAAGTGGACCTGGGAGGAGGACCAACAAGCCCAAGAGGTTGGTAGAGACCACGCCCAGACCCTGCCTGCTTCAACCTTTCCTTGGCTCCGCCCGTTTCCCTAAGACTAGCGCCCCACCCCCACCCCCCAGCCTGAAGTCCTATCCCCCGGACTTCCCGCTCTGCTCGCCCCTTCCTCAGTCCTGCTCCCAGGCTCAACTCCAGGATGAAAGATTAACCAAGGTTTTGCTCTAGGACCCTGGTCACACCCCTCACTCCGGGCCGTCCGCTTCCTTCTGCACCAGGCCCTCCCAGAGCTGAGCCCCGCCCTCCATTTGCGGTCCAATTCTGGGGTCTTGGACAAAGGATGCCCCGGGGCCCGCGGCGATATACCAGGACCCCACTCCAAATACTTTTGAGTCCTTGGGGCTCCCTCCAGAAGAGTCCCAGAGCCCTTAGCGGCCAATAGGAAAGTGGGTTCGGTCTGGGTAGCTGTCTAATTGGCTCCGGTCTTCGGGAGCTAACACCAGGGGCAAGAGGAGGGGAGAGGGGCGGTCCCGGGCTTTGGGGTGGGAACCGGATTCCAGCTGTGGCTCTCTCCCCGGCACCCCCGCCCTCACTGCCACGCCGACCGGCCAATGGACATGCGGCTCGGGGCCGGCGGCGCGCGGTCATTGGCTGCGAGGCTGGCTGGGGAGAGGCGGGGCCGAGGCTTGAAGTTGGAGTGAGGGATCCAGCTGTGGTGTGCGCCCGGCTCCTCGCCGCCGCTTTCGCTTGCTCTCTCCGCGTCTCGGCCGGAGGAGGAGGCAGTGGCGCCGGCGACAGCTACGGCAGCAGCAGCCACCGCGGCGGCTGCGGCGGCGGCATCTCCGCCTCCACCCCCGCCTGGGACGGCCCCTCGTCACCTCCCCGCCCCTCCTGGACCGGGAGCCGGCCGCCGGGAGGAGGAAGGAGCCACCCAGCCCTCTTCTCTCTCTCCCTCTTGGGGCCGCTTCGCCGAAGGTAGCGCCGAATCTGGCGACCGGAGCCTGGGCGCGAAGCGAAGAAGCCAGAACAAAGTGAGGGGAAGCCGGCCGGCTGGCCCGGGGGGCCCTAAAAGGGCTGGGGAAGCGGGACTCGCGCCAGGCGGGGCTTCCCTTCGACCCGGCGCCCGGCGGGCAGCATGCCCCTGCGGGCAGGGGGATCTGGGCTGAACTGGCCCTCCTGGGGGCTCAGCCTGCGCCCTAGAGCCCCCCAGATGCGCCCCCGCCGGGGCCCCCCGCTTGCGTGAGGACACCTTTTCTGAGGGGCGCCGCTAGCCCCTCTCGAAACCTCCCGGGGCCCCGGCTGGCCAGAGGATGGACGAGGAGGAGGATGGAGCGGGCGCCGAGGAGTCAGGACAGCCCCGGAGCTTCATGCGGCTCAACGACCTGTCGGGGGCCAGGGACCGGCCGGGGCCGGGGTCGGCGGAGAAGGACCCCGGCAGCGCGGACTCCGAGGCGGAGGGGCTGCCATACCCTGCACTGGCCCCGGTGGTTTTCTTCTACTTGAGCCAGGACAGCCGCCCGCGGAGCTGGTGTCTCCGCACGGTCTGTAACCCATATCCTCCGGGGCACGACGGCCGGGCTGGGGGGTCCGCAGGGGGACGGGCCACCGCCTGAGGGAACCAAAAGCCAGGTGAGTCGGAGAAGTGAGCTTGGAAGATGGGCAGATGAGAGGGGGGCTGCTAGGGAGGGGAGGGGGTGTTAGAGTGGGAGCGGAGACGGGAGCAGGTTTGGCTGATACCCCAGGCGAGCCCCACCTCGGTACACACACCTCAGTCCTCCTTGATGGGTTGGGATCCAGGCCAGGAAAAGAGAGGCGACGTGCCCCCATTGGTTGGCAGCTGGATGCTCTCCAGATGTGGGCAAGGGAGGGTCGTCATCCTCCAGATGTGGGAAGCTTCGGGAGCCCGGGAGCTCTATTCCGCCCGCCGCCAGTTAGCGAGCTGGGTTTGGTTTCCGAGTTTGGGGGGTGGGGTGGGGAGGAAGCTGCGGGTACGGGGAGATGGGGGGTGGGGACCAGGTCCTAACCCCCGCCAACCCCCACCCCGCGGGTTGGAGGCACAACAAGGAGATTCCGGCGGCGGCTGATGTCAGGGGCGCAGAATGAGAACAAGATGTGGTGGCGGAGAGCTATCTGCCCCCAGATTCGAGTAAAGACCCTTTCAGTAGGAACACAGGGCTCTGAGTGCCTCCCTTCTCCCCAGTTCTTTAGTCAATGCGGGGTGCTTAAGGTTGGCTTGGGGAGTTTTGTGCTAGATTTTTTCTTGTGGAGGGAAAGACTGTGGCAAGAGCTTTGGCAAGTGGGGGATGGGATTAAGCAGGTCCAAGTTACCCATCCCCTTTCCATAGGAGCGCTCCTGCCTGACTGCAGAACAGGTATGGGAGACCACAGCCTTCCGAAAGCAGTAGGGGGCACGGGGGACAGTGAGACCGTGAGCCGGTTCACTGAGGAAAGCTCAGGTCCACCACCTCATGTCTACTCCTTGGATGGCTTTGTGAAAGGCAAGCCCCACATTCCAGGAAGATAGATTTAGCACTGCCTTCTCTCCTGTGCCCTGTCTGGAATTGTGTGGGAGACCCCAGCCCCCTCCCCCCCATGGCTTCTCCTCCTTAGCCCCTAGCACCAAGCTCTGCTTGACTAATGCCCAGCTCCAGGCTCCTGGGTGAGTCCCACCACTGCTGAAAGGAATGGGGAGTGGGGTGGGCTGCCATCCTTGGTCTTGACAGCTTCTCCTGGCTCTCTCTTCCCAGCTCAGAGGCCCTTTTGGACCCAGGGTGAGAGATGTCAGGTCTCCCCTGTAACCAGCTGAGAGCCCAACTGGGACTCTGCTTTGGGGAGGGGGAGAGCGTGGTGCCGCCCTCTCTCTGCAGCTCTGCTGCCTCTAGTGCGCAAAGCAGAGATGTGAGCCTGGGTCCCCCCAACCCCCATCCTGTGCACCCTGTGGGTCTTTAGGAAGCTCCCCTCATCATACACTCTCTCCATCCCCTGCCCTTTCCTTTCTCTCTGAGCTGCAGAAAAAAGGGGTTGCCTCAAAGGTCTGTGGACCTGCTGAACTGGCACATTTGGGCTCCCCATCCCCCACCCCAGAGTCCTCTGTCAGTGGTAGAGATGGGGAACAAATGTCTGAAAAAGAACAGTCTCAGGGCATCCCTCCTCTCCACTCCTAATCACCCACCCTCTCCATGAATGTGAAAAAGCACTAGACCCAACCCCTCCTTCTCAGGAGCCCCCGGGGTGTGTGGTGGTGGTGGTATGTGTGTAGAGAGAAATCTCTTCTCTTTCCCTCCAAAAAGCCACAGACCTCTTGGCCAGCATCTCCCCCATCTACCCTATCTTAGGTGCTAGTGGATGGTCTGGGATCAGATTTCTTCCTGGAGGAGGTCTGGAAAAGGGCAAGTGGAGAGGGCTGGAATGAGGAAAGAGAGGTGGAGGCCCAGTGTTCATCTTGGGAGTGGGGGGTGCGCTGGCTTACCTCTAGTGGTGGGAGTCTGGGGTGTGGGGCATCAGCTTTACTAGGTCTGGACAAGCCCCTAAGCCTGAATTGGCTGAGGATGGGTGGAGAAACAATTGCTGGGCAAGGGAGCTGCTTCAGACGTGCCCTCCCCATACTCATCACATCCTGTATCAAAAGAAACCTGTGTTTTCACATCAGAGGGGCTGTGGACTGACTCTTGGACCTCAATCTTGCTCTCAGTCCTTTTGGTATCCTCGAGGCTTCCCTTGGCTGCACCTCTGGGCCTGAGGGACAGGACACCTCCCCTCAACTAACTGAAGCTCGCGGGGTTCTTCTTGGCATTCTTCTCAGCCTCTTTAAGAGACCAGGTTTCCTAGAGAGGGGATCTCGACCCAGGTGGGATGTGGTGTATGTGTGAATGTGTGCGTGTGTGCGTATTTGTGTGTGTGTGTTGGGGAGGAAGGGGTGACAGCAAAGGAAGGAGGAGCTTGGAAGTGTATATTTTGGTCCTGGGGAGACCAGGGCTTCATGGACAGTCAGAAAGGCCCCCCTCCTCCCAGGCTATAGGGAAGGGAGTGTGTTGGACTTTGCAGTATGTGTTTCTTCAAGTGTGAGGGAGTGAGTTTCCCCTCCTGGGAAGGAGATCCTGAGCATTCCCTCTCGGCTGTTGTGTCACATCTGGAAGTTTGTGTAGGAGTTTCTCCAAGCTCAGAGCCCAGCACAGCTTTTTCTCATTTGGAAATCACAGGCTGGCATTTGGGATGCCGAGAGGGGGAGTGGGAAGGGGGCCAGAGGGGGAGAAGGGAGCCTGCCAGGAGTGGGGGGAGGAGAAGGGGGAGGCCTGAGCAGCAGGAGCCCTAATGGCTTCCAGAAGTGAGTGTGAGTGTGTGATCTGCGTGTGTCTGCGAGTGTGTGTGTCTGGAGGGGAGGGGGCACCAGGAGTCTCTGGAGCTCTCCTTGCCACCATCCCAGTGTCCCAAGTTCCCCGGCTTCCCTTCCCTAGGGAGAAGTCTCCATTTTGGTCCTCAGAGAAAATAGAAGGGAGGTGTTTCTTCGTATCTCCTCACCAGTTCCCCCCTCTCGTTTTCAACCCCAAGGCCCCCCAGAGAGGGTTCTGGGGAGAAGGGCTGGGGCTAGAGAAGTGAACTAGGCTGAGAGGGCCAGAGCACCCCCTCACACTCTTTCTGTCCCAGGCCCACCTTCCTTCCCGGCTCCACACACACTCTGCTCCTCTGAACTGTTGGGGGACTCCCCATCACCCAGAGTGCCAGTTGGAGCCATTCCTGGGATTATCCCAACCACATAACCCCCCTTCACCCTTGCCTGCTCCCGCCCGAGCTCTCACCCCACCCTGCGTGCCTCAGCCAGGATGGCGACAGACACAACTGCTCACACACACACACACACACACACACACACACGCATGCACGCAGACACACACACACAGAGTCACAGACATTTGAATCAGATTTCTGGCCTATTTTCCCTCCCAAAGGTTCCAGCGGGCCGGCTTTCTTGTGTCCCTGTGTCTCACGTCTGTGTCTCTGGGTGGGGCTGGCTGCCTTTCTCAGGGCTGCAGTTTTCAGTTTAGCTGGAAACCTCCCTCCCCACACACCCACACTCTGGGGCGGGCGATGGGCAGACCACTGTGAAACAGGCTTGTGGTGGTGGGGGGGTTGGCTGGGGGAATCCCCTTTTCAGCCTCCCAGCAGGAACCCTGCTCCTGAGCCCCTAGGTCTCACCCCACCTGGGGAATGCTGAATCTCATAGACACCAGCCTCTCTGGGGGCAAATGAGACAAGCATCCCACCTTCCCAATGAGTACCAGGAGGCCAGGACTCCTGGGTCCAGGCCAGTTTCCTCTTCAGCGCGCCTTAGTCTCAGATTTGCAGGCTCCTAGCAGGGAATGGGACACCTAGGGGGCTGCTTCCCTTCTCAATCATGCCTTGCTCGGAGCCCCCACACCCCTGGAAGTGGTCCAGCTCTACCTTCCTCTCCCTTATAGCTGCCTAACTAGGCAAGGGCTCAAGATAAAGCCCCACAGAGAAGACTCAGTTGTGCAGATAACATGCTCTAGTTTTTTTCTTGGAGGGAGGAGAGGGGGAGGGATGGAAGTGGGGTTCCTCACCCTGCCATTTCCTTTTTCTCTGCTTTTGATGGTGGGTTGTTGGGAGAAGAAAGATCCTCCCTTCTCCTACCCACCTCCCCCTTTGGGATCCACTCCAACCCGGACAGTCACCATAGCAACAGTAGACATGTGACTGCACAGGTCTCTCACAGTCACTATGGCAACCAGTGTCCCCCATTCCCCGGGTTACTATGGAGATTTGTCACATGGTTCCCCCCTCCCGAACCTGATAACCTGTGGGTCTCCCCACTTCCCCTTCCCTGCATGAGGATAAGACAGAAGCCTGGGTAAGGGGAGTTCATATGTGAGAGGGTCCTTCTTGTTACCATGGCAACAAATCCACACCACCTGGTGACACATCCTCCTGTTGTTATGGCAACAGAGGAACATCACACAGTGACATACGGCTATATTCTCAAGGAAATGAGCCCTACCCTGACAAGGGTGAACCCCCCCCCAGTTAATTATTCCTCAGTTGAGATTGTCCCAAGTTTTCCTGTGCCTTGGTGTTTCCACTTTCCGTTTATGTTTATCTATAGGGAAAGGGGAGAGGTAAGAGTGGCAGGATGTACCTAGGAGTAGGGTGAATTGTCTATGGGGGCTTTTAAGAAGGGGCTTCCATTGTTAAGAGCTGGAGGTGAGGTTATTTGCAGGCAGACTCTGGCTGTAAGAAGCCTCAGTATGAGCATGTGTACGGTGTGGATAGAAAGATGGACAGCTCCTTTAGTGTCACTTCTCCCTGCCCCGCCCCCGGTTACCTTTAATTTATCGCTATTGAAGCAATTAAGGTAGGAAAACATGAATGGGAGATACATCTGGCTTCTAGGCAACGATATTGATTGATTGATCCATTCATTCATTCAGTCAGTCTTCCCGTGTATTGATCATCTGCTACATGCCAGGCACTCTAAGCTGTGTAGGGGCTTGGATGCATCAGGGTGCCCCTGCCTCAGCGAGGGAGATGAAACAAGGGCACAGATGATGTGATGGACTCACTGCCATTAGGGAGGTCCACACAGGTGTCCCAGGAGCTCCTCTCTCCAGGAGAACTACCCGCCTCCCCGCTATGTGGAGACATCTGCTCACATGGGTCCCTTCCAGAACCTCTTCCCTACAGAAGAGAGGAGGGGGCTATCCTGGGGAAAGCAGGCCACTTCTTGAAGGTAATTGTGTCCTTCCTTTTTCAGATGATGGTCCCAAGGGAGCTCCTTCCCTGTCCCCTTTATTCCAGGGTGACCCCTGGCTGACCCTCATTCTGGGGAGAGATCCACTGGGCTCTAGCTCTACTCAGGAAAACAGCTCCATGGAAACAGAGCACTCCTTTGATTTCCCCATTCCATATACTTACCCCAAAAGCATGGAATTTTTTAAAAACTCTTATTCCTGTGAGGATGTAAGGTTAGGGAAATTGTAGTGCTTTGGGAAGTTTGAGTACCTGTCAGTGGAAAGGGATGTGAGTCTGAGGGAAAAGGGCCTGGGTGATAGGAAGGGGTAGGAGGGCTTTGAGGGGGTTGAGTGTGGACTCCCAGAGAGGGAGACTGGTCTGAGGTTCAGGCCAGAGATGGGGTATGACTGGAACCAGCTTCAAGGAAAGTTCTTGGGTCCCTGGTCAAAACCTTCTCAACTCTGAAAGTGGAGTTATGACAGGAAGATTCCATCTGCTCAGGGCCCTGTCTGTTGCACTGAGTCTGGCTTCTTGGGTCATGCTGTGGTCTGCCCTGACACCCTCTGCACCTTTATCCTTCTCCTTCCTCTGGCCCCCCATTTCTGCTTGTTTCTAGCCTCTTTACTCTTTCCCACCCCTAAGAAAGTGGAATGCTCAATCTGTGAGCTTGATCCCCAGAACTTTCTAAGATCTGGAAGCCATTTTGTACATTCTGCTGAAGGGCTAGAAGTGAATCCCTTAGTGAAATCCACTATGTGGAGAGACTCAGGGTTTAAAAAGACCTCTGTTCCCCTTGCTGCAAAGCAGAGCTTTGCTGGAAACCCTAAGGAGTGGTGCTGGCCTGGTCTGTATACACTGTGCTGTCTGCTCTGCCCAGGCTGAGGGCAGTGTCCAGTACGGGGCTGGTGTGTAGTGGGTCCTCATTACTTAAACGTGTGAATGTGTCTGGAGGCCATCTGAGGGCTTTGAGAGGACAGGGAGCTGGTGGGGAAGAGGCAGGCTGTGCCTCTGGTCCTGTGGCACTTGTCTGCCTCAGCCTATCTGTTTGGTGCCAGTGTGGTTGTAACAGCCCCTTCCATGCAGCCTGAGCAGCTATGGAAGCTACTATCCCAGATCAGAAGCTTAGAAACCTCCGTCTCATCTGGGTCTCTTCCATGACCTTCAGCACATGACTTAGTGTGGGCCTCAGTTTCCTTGAGTTCTGCAGAAGAAGGTGATCTCTTCTAGCTCAGATACTTCCTGAGGCTGTTGTGAGCATCCAGTGTGGCATGCTGTGAAAGTGCTTGGTAAACTGTAAGGCAGGCATAATCCGACTTTAGGTTTGTGTCACACATTCACATACATTATCTCATTTGCTTCTCACATCTTCCCTGTGAGGTAGGGAGAATAGGATTCAGATTCAGCAGCAAACTCTTAGTGCCTGGCATTTCCAACAAGCACTATTGATTTTATCTCCTAAATGGCTTGTGCAAATAGTCAGGATATTTGTGGCTTTTCCTACTTTACAGTAGAGGAAGCTGGGTCCAGAGAGGTGAGATGACCAAGGTGGGTCTGGGCCTGGGGGCCAGTATGATATGTAGGCCAGCATCCTCCCAGCACACCTGGCTACATCTTAGATGGGGTTGGGAGGTCAAGCAGCAGGAGATGCTTGGACAAGACGGTGATCAGGTTTCACCTGGCCAGCTGTTTCCTTGACCATTTGGTACCTGGTTTGAGCGCATCAGTATGTTGGTCATCCTTCTCAACTGTGTGACCCTGGGCATGTTCCGGCCATGTGAAGACATTGCCTGTGATTCCCAGCGCTGCCGGATTCTGCAGGTGAGCACGTGTGTGGTGAGCGAGGGGGCAGTTCCTGATCTTTATAACCCTGAATCTGCAAGAGGCCTTGAGCCCAGTGGTGGGGGTGGGGATGGGGTGGGGGGGATTTGCCCACCCTTTTCTCAGTTTCAGCAGCCTTTTGTCCCCATATCAGGCCTTTGATGACTTCATCTTTGCCTTCTTCGCTGTGGAGATGGTGGTGAAGATGGTGGCCTTGGGCATCTTTGGGAAAAAGTGTTACCTGGGAGACACCTGGAACCGGCTTGACTTTTTCATCGTCATTGCAGGGTGAGGGCCTGGAGTGGAAGAGTGATGGATCAGATAAGTCCCTTTCCCAGGTCCAGGGTTCTAGGCCTGGCCCCCAACCCCGGCCCACTTACAGCACTGCCGTCTCCCTGGCTGTCCACTAAGGGTCCAGGCTGTCCTGCCTATAGTGCTCAAACCCATACTTCTCTGAATTCCACGGCCCCTCCATCCACACTCTTTTCTGTTCAGTCTCTGATAAGGAGTTCGTCCTTGGATTGAGGGTGACCTTGCCCATAGGGAGAGAGCTGGCTTTTCAGGGTCCCTTGGTGAAAGGGGAGGATTCCTGCCCCATCACAGCAGGATTCCTCATTGATCTCTTTTGACCCTCATGGTGGCCTCAGACTCAAAGGGCTTCCCTTTGGCCCCCTCCCTGCAGGATGCTGGAGTATTCGCTGGACCTGCAGAACGTCAGCTTCTCAGCTGTCAGGACAGTCCGTGTGCTGCGACCCCTCAGGGCCATTAACCGGGTGCCCAGTGAGTGACCCCTCAGCCCTCAGCCCCTGGACAGGGAACCCCAAGAGGAAATATGGAAGTCTCAGATCCCACCCCTACCTCCTGGCCACTCACAGCCCTCATCAAGTCTGGCACAATGAGGCAGACCCCCTCAGAGAAGGGCTCAGTGGAAATCTGGGTCACTGGAGCCAAAGGGAGCCCCCATACCGGCTGTGGCACTGTGAGATTTACCTGGAAAGGCTCTTCCCCCTCATTTCAGCCTGATTTTAGGTCCTAGTCTCAGGAGGTCTCAGATGACCTGTTCCCTTCAGCTACACTACCCTCCTTCCAGTGGAAGAGGGGTGGGGGGAAGCAGGGTAGAGAGCTGATAGGCCAGGAGGAATGGGTGCAAAGTGGGACGGCCTTTTCTAGCCAGAACCACATCTCATGCAGTCTGGTTCTCGTTGGAACCGCAGTGGCCACACTGAGCATGGCTTCTCTCAAGACAAGGCCGCTCCATGCCTCATCCTCCCGCCTATGTCCCTTTCCACCCCCTTCCAAGCCGCTGCAGCAACTGACTGCCGGGACCATTATCTAAATTAAACTGCATTGGTTTCTGAGCCAGCCAGGCTTTGGCAGCTCCAGCTCCCCCCACATCCCGCCCCCCACCCTTGCTCAGGCCCCCATTGCAACTCCCCAGCCTACACAAACTGCAGATGGTCTCTGCTGCTGTCCCAGCGGGGAGGGTGGGGGCATGTTTCTGGGGCTCTGTCTGTTGTAGCAGTTGCCCCCTTTGCTGCTTATGCACACGTGCCTCGGTGTGTATGTGTGTGTGTCAAGGTGGGCAGAGGTGCTTAGTGTGTGTTCCAGGCATTGAGGTCTGTTGGTGTTAACGGGATCCCCAGACAGAGGCATGCCTTCCCTTCTCTCCCACCCCAGGTGATGGCTGGCAGATTTATAGGCCTCTTAACTACCAGTGTAATTCCCTTAATGCAAACCCTGAGGAATTGATCTGTTGGAGCCCAGAGAAGCTGAAGGGAGCTGGGGTTGGGGGAGGGGAGAGTGACTGAGTGAGAAGACTGGACTGGCTGTGTGGGAGGGCTGGGGCGGGTGGGCTGCTGTAGTCATCAGGAGGGTTAATTAGCAGCTTCTTGGAAGCTTTTTTCCTGGAGGGGTCAGGAGGTGGCACTTTAGGGCACATGAGTGGCACTTTAGGGGTCAAAACTAGTCACTAGAGGTCTGTGTGTTTGACAAGGGCTTGGTGGCCTAGGGGCTAGTTTGCTGTGTGTGCTCAGCCGCTGAGTCATGTCCAACCCCATGGACTGCAGCCTGCCATGCTCTTCTGTCCGTGGGGATTTTCCAGGCAAGAACACTGGAGTGGGTTGCCATGCCCTCCTCCAGGGGAATCTTCCCAACCCAGGGATCGAACCCAGGTCTCCCACATTGCAGGTGGATTCTTTACCATCTGAGCCACCAGGGAAGCCCATTAGCTAGTTTTGACATCCTAAATCTGGAGTAGGGAAGGTGGGCAGTATCCAACAGTGTCTTAGGAGGCAGGTTTGTGGAGGCTTTCCCTGTGAAAGGGGTTGTTAACACATGGCCACCTGAGAAAACAGCCTCAGATCTCTCAGGTCCTGATGTGGGGAACTGGACCAGGCAGAGACTAGACTCAAGAAGGGGGCTCAGGACCGTGGTGAAGTGCAGGTCATCTTGGTCCCTGCTGAGGGCTTGTTTCTCAAAGGGAAATTCCTCTCAGCTAACATCCCTGTTGGAGTTCTCTGCCTTGGTTTCCCCAATGACTTTGGGGTCAGATGATTATGACTGATGAGAGAAAGAAGTAGGATGGGAGTGTGTGGTGTGTGCGCGCGCGCGCGCGCGCGCGTGTGTGTGTGTGTGCTGGGAAGTGAGATGCGGAAGCAGAGAACCTGGTTTTTAAGTCCTGGCACCTATATTTGGCAGCTCTGTGACACTGGACAAGTCATGCCAGTCCTCTGAGCCTTGACCCTCATCTGCAAATTGGGGGTGATGGTATCTGCTCTGTGATGATGTTAGGAGAGTGAGGTGGGATGTGGTGCTGGAGAGTGTTTTGGACACTGTGGCCACTCTGCTCATCCTTGCTGGCACTGTGCTCTGACTGGTGTGGGCTGGCCGAGAGGGAGGGTGGGCAGGGGTTAGGGGCTGGGAGGGCCGCCCACAGAGTTAGCAGTGTCTGTTGGTCTCCCTCCAGCTTGAGCCGGGCCGCCTCAGCCTCGGAGGCCCCGGTGGGCCCTCTCTGGGAGTGCTGCCAGGCCTGTGGCAGCCAGCCTAGCCCGGCCAGCCTGGCACCCCCAGCGTGGCTTCTGCCCCCACAGGCATGCGCATCCTCGTCACGCTGCTGCTGGACACGCTGCCCATGCTGGGCAACGTCCTGCTGCTGTGCTTCTTCGTCTTCTTCATCTTCGGCATCGTTGGTGTCCAGCTGTGGGCAGGACTGCTTCGTAACCGATGCTTCCTGCCTGAGAATTTCAGCCTGTGAGTGGCACGTGGGCGGGAGGTGACCTGGGAGTGACTGTGGGGCTGGGACCTCCCTCAGTCCCTGTTGCTGGTGACATATCTGTTCTGTTATTAATGATGTGCCTGGCGATCAAGCTTGGCTACACACTGAAGTCACCTGGGTAGTTGAGACAACTGCTAAGGCCTGGGTTCCCCGGCTCCCCTTTCCAATATCATTTGTATGGGGTTCAGCCTGGGTGTGGGGATTTTTAAAAGCTCCTCATGAGCCTAAAGTGCAGCCACTTTGGGAACCACTGCCCTAGAATGGAGCCTTCCCATATCCCGACTCTGGAGTTTCACCCTCAATCTGCATGCTCCTGGCACCCCTCATGCGCACCCACAAACCCCTGCCCCTGCCTAATACTTGCCCTGTGTGCCTCAGTGCGTCCACCCAGCTCTCCCTTCCTGGGCCCTGTCCCCTGAAAACCCTGGTCTCAGCCTCATTCCTGTCCACTTCTCAGGCCCCTGAGCGTGGACTTGGAGCGCTACTACCAGACTGAGAACGAGGATGAGAACCCGTTCATCTGCTCCCAGCCTCGTGAAAATGGCATGCGCTCCTGCAGGAGTGTGCCCACGCTGCGCGGGGACGGGGGCGGCGGCCCGCCCTGCGGCCTGGACTACGAGGCCTACAACAGCTCCAGCAATACCACCTGCGTGAACTGGAACCAGTACTACACCAACTGCTCGGCGGGGGAGCACAACCCCTTCAAGGGTGCCATCAACTTCGACAACATTGGCTACGCCTGGATCGCCATCTTCCAGGTGGGGTAGCCCGGGCATTGGGAGAGTTCCCAGAGCCCAAGTGCTAGGACACAGTCCCGGCTTGGAGTAGTCATCCTCAGGCTTGAGCTGGGATCAGGGCCTCTAGAGGGGACTGCAGGAAACTCTGGGGGGCCCGGAAATAACCTGCCCCTTTGCAACCTCCCCAGGTCATCACGCTGGAGGGCTGGGTCGACATCATGTACTTTGTGATGGATGCTCACTCCTTCTACAACTTCATCTACTTCATCCTTCTCATCATTGTGAGTGTTTCCTCAAGCTCTTGTGGGGATGGAGGATGCTGGGGAAATGGATAGGGGAAGTCCAGAGAGGGGACTTGCTTGGTCTGAAGTTCTGGCTCTCAGTGCAATTCTCATAGAGATGCAGGCAGAGGGCCCCTGTTCTGAGGAGTTAGGAGGAAATCCAAAGTCAAGGCCTGTCACTTATTAGCACTTAAAATCTTGAGCAAGTCATTCCCCATGAGGCCCCCAGCCCTACCCTGGGCATTTGTTTCTTCATCAGTAAAATGGGTGGGTTCTCAACCCAGGGTGATGCCACCTCTCCTAGGGGGCACTTGGAAACGGCAAAGGGTGGTTCTGCTTTTTATGAGGATGAGGAGAGCACTTTGGGCATTTTGCTGGAAGGCAGGGGGTAAATAATAGACACCTTGAGATGACAGTCCGGCAAACAAGGAATTGTTCCACTCCAAATTCCCATCATTTGGTGTTGAGAAACTGTGTGATCTATTGTTCCAGCTCAGAAGTTCCAAGACTTTATGAGGACAGAAGACAGAGGCAAAAGTAGCAATATTTAGTAGTTTTAATCACTACCATGATTAATAATTTAATTTCTACCACTTATAGCTAATATTTATTGAGCACTTACTATGTCCCAGTCCCTGCTCGGAGTGCTTTTTTGTGTACTGGTGCGTTTAATCCTCACTAAGATCCTGTTATTGTCTCCATTTTACAGATGAGGAAACTGATGTTTCCTCATTCGACTGACCCAATCATGTGCTTTGAATGTGCTTTGGCTTAGTCTTGCTGGGCTGAGTGCTGCCGCTGAAGTGTGCTGTAACATCTGCTGCCCGCTTCGTCCTCAGATTCCCTGAGAGGTGGCAGGTGCAGGGCCTCATCTTCTAAACAAGAACTCTGAGCTCCAGAGGGCAGGCTTGCTGGAGCTGAGCATTCAGCCCCAGGCTATTGCCTCCAAATCCAACCCTTTTCCCACATCACCAAGAGGCCAGTGACACAGCCAGAAAGACAGATAAGAGAAAGATGAGAGAAAGAGATGAAGATATACTCAGGACTTAGGCTCCAGAGAGAGGTGGAGACAGAATAAGGACCTGTTGGTGAGTGAGAGGGGTCCCTGAGAAAGGGCAGCCCCCCGACCCCCGATCGTCCCTGATGGGGAAAAGTAGCCAGGCTTGGGGCCTGTTCCCTTCCCCCCACCATCACCCAGGCGGCAAGGTTAGCACCTCTGGGAAGTGGTCTGTGATTTTCCCCCATTCGGCTCTCTCTGAGCCTGGGGAGTGGGAGGGAAGCAGACAGAGAGGTAAGGGACCTTGTTTCCACCCTCCCACACACCCCATGAAAAATCTTTCCAAACAGCTCTCCGGAATCACACTAGTGAAGCTAATTATCATAATTACTAGGACACAATCTAGAAAAAAAAAATTGCCTTTCACCATAAATATTCATTACTTTCATTCTGGATCATTGTCCAAGCAGTTGCCATCCCAGAGGCCCGGGGTGGGGGTTGGGGGGGGTGGGGACTGAGGTATGGAAGTGGAGACGTGACAATGTGGTCAAGTCAGAGTGGCAGCCTGGCTAGTCTGCAAGGTTCAGGGTCAGCCTGTCACCCAGCTGGGGGAGAGGAGAGACATGGTTTGGAAAAGGGATACAGGCAAGGCCAATGGTCATGAGGATATTGAGGCCCCAGGGTTAAAGGTCTCACTCAAGGTCACACAGCAGGACTTGGGACTAGAAGCAAGAGTTTTGTAAATGGTGTTTTTGCCAGAATCTCAAAAGCTCAATCCAATGTGAAAACCCATGTCCCCCAAATAGCATTCATTTCCATAGCCTTCTCTACTCCTAACAGAAAGTGAGAAGAGGGGTGCTCAGGATCTCAGATGGTGGGATTGTTTAGGGGTAGGGAATTTGGGAGATATCCTTGCCAATAACCTCATGATCAATAGCAATTCCTTGGAATTCCACAGAAGTTGATTCAAATCTTAGCCTTGCTGTGCTGAATGATCATGGGGAAATTCCTCAACGTCTCTGAACCCATTTTCTCACTTGTCAGATGGAGATAATAAAAGTGTCACCTCTTAAAAAAAATAAAGTGTCACCTCTTCAGATTGTCATGAGAAGGAAACAGGATGATGCTTGAACAATTATTGAGCCTAGTATCTGGCACATAGGAAGCGCTCAGCACTTGGCAGCATGCACTGTGATCCCCCTTTCCTTCTGGCTGTCTCCTTTTTTTGTCCCCACCCCAATAGGTGGGCTCTTTCTTCATGATCAACCTGTGCCTGGTGGTGATTGCCACGCAGTTCTCAGAGACCAAGCAGAGGGAAAGCCAGCTGATGCGGGAGCAGCGTGTGAGGTTCCTTTCCAACGCCAGCACCCTGGCCAGCTTCTCCGAGCCCGGCAGCTGCTACGAGGAGCTGCTCAAGTACCTCGTGTATATCCTCCGGAAAGCAGCCCGAAGGCTGGCCCAGGTCTCTCGGGCAGCGGGCGTGCGGGTTGGCCTGCTGAGCAGCCCAGCGCCCCGTGGGGGCCAGGAACCCCAGCCCAGTGGCAGCTGCCCTCGCCCCCACCGCCGTCCGTCCGTCCACCACCTGGTGCACCATCACCACCACCATCACCACCACTACCACTTGGGCAATGGGACTCTGCGGGCCCCCCGGCCCAGCCCACAGATCCAGGACAGAGATGCCAGTGGGGCCCGCCGGCTCATGCTGCCACCACCCTCAACACCTGCCCTTTCCAGGGGCCCTCCAGGGGGTGCAGAGGCTGTGCACAGCTTCTACCATGCTGACTGCCACTTGGAGCCAGTCCGCTGCCAAGCACCCCCTCCCAGGTCGCCATCGGAGGCATCGGGCAGGACTGTGGACAGTGGGAAGGTGTACCCCACCGTGCACACCAGCCCTCCACCTGAGATGCTCAAAGAGAAGGCACTAATGGAGGTGGCCCCCGCCTCTGGACCCACCACCCTCACCAGCCTCAACATCCCACCCAGGCCCTACAGCTCTATGCACAAGCTGCTGGAGACGCAGAGTGCAGGTGAGAGCTCGGTGGAGGCATGTGGGTGCCCCTCAGCTGGGGACCAGGTGATATCCTATCCCAGGGAGGGCTGAGGGGGTCTGGAGTCAGAAGCACAGGGCCTGGATTCCCATTCTGCCTCTAGGCCTTGGGACCTTCAAGCAGTCACATCGCTTCTTGGAGCCCTAATTTTCTCATCTATTAAGATGGGAGCCATAATTCCTACTTTGTAATGATAACAATAGCTGTCTGTAACAAGCACCTATGCTCTGCTCTATGCCGTTTGCAGTTGTTGACGATGGCTGTGTGCCTGTTGCATGCTTCACAGGCAAAACCCCATTGGGTCCTCTTATCAGTTGAAGTGATAAACTTTCCTTATTTTACTGATGAGGAGGAGGAGCTTGGAGAGGTTGTGTGATTTGCCCAGGGCGCTGTCATTGGTGAGGGGTGGAGTCAGGGCCCTCTGACTCTGAGGTCCATGCTCTATAGCCCTTGTTGCAGGCTCAGAGGGGGAAATGGTGTATGACTACGGTGAGCCCCATGCCCCGTGCTAAGGGGACTCATGTAAATACAGATGTTACTCTGTCCCCATAGAGAGACCTGGGGCTCGGTGCAGCAAGTCCTCAGAGGCCTCTAGACTGATGGATAGAACACCCAGTGTTGTGGGGAAGGGAAATGCTTGTTCCTTGAGGCATCCCCCGGTCAGGCAGGGGTGATGAGCCCTTCTCTATAGACTCACTGCAACCGAAGTCCAGGGCCTGTGCTTCAGGAGGAATGTGGCACGTGGGAGAAGTGGGATATTTGTGGGCTGTTATGTGGGAATGTGGGCTGGACAGGAAGGTGCCATCACAGAACACAGTGGGAAGGGTTCTTATGCCAGCTCCTCTATTACCCTGCCAAGGGGCGCCAGCCAGCCACACACACGTATGGTTCTGTTTCCCTCTGTGTAAAAGGCAGGGCTGGGACAATCACAGCTGTGAGTGGTGCTTACTGATGTCCTCCTGCATGCAGGCGGAAGGGCTGGGCCCCAAGCCAGGCGTCTTCACATTCGTGCTTTACCTGGGTGGTCTCTGAGGTTCCTCGCAGCTCTCACAGTCTATGATCAAAGCTGGATTTAAACGGACATCGGTGTCTTGGGATAGGTCACTGTGTACGTGCACACGTGCTGTCTGGTGTGTGCGTGTGTGCATAAAGGTGACCTCTGTGTGTCTGTGCCGTCTACGTGCACATGTCTGGTATCCATGTATGCATGTGTCCACACGTGTCTGCTGTGTGTAGGTGCGTGTGTGCACACACAGGGTGGTGCTCTTGTTTAGTGTGTATGCACGCCCATGTGTGTACATGCCTGGCATACATGTGCTGTGTGATGTGTATGGATCTGTGCACACATGTGTTTGGCTCTACATGTATATATGATTGTAAATGGTATGTGTATGTACACAGTACGTGTGTGTGCAAGTATGTATCTAGTGCACAAATGCAAGTGTCTGGCGTGAGAATATACATGGATATATAAGGCTGTCCAAACCTGAGGACAACCAGCAGTGACTGTCAGTGGGATGCTATTGGCATTTGGGGGCGTTCTCCTGCTCAGGATCACCCATATTGCAGGTCATCAGTACCCTTGCCCACCAAGTGCCTAGTACCACCACTGAAAGAACTCCAAATCCCCCACTCATTTTATATACATGCTGAGGGAAGGTCACCCCAAGTAGGAAAGCCTGGAGCCGCTAACCTCTACCTTCCTGTCCCAGGCGCCTGCCAAAGCTCTTGCAAGATCTCCAGCCCTTGCTTGAGGGCAGCCAGCGGAGCCTGTGGCCCAGACAGCTGTCCCTACTGTGCCCGGACCGGGGCAGGGGAGGTGGGGCTCACTGGCCACGAGATGCCTGACTCAGACAGTGAGGCGGTTTATGAGTTCACACAAGATGCTCAGCATGACGACCTCCGGGATCCCCACAGTCGGCGTCGACGGAGCCTGGGGCTGGATGTGGAGCCCAACTCTGTGCTGGCCTTCTGGAGGCTGATCTGTGACACCTTCCGGAAGATCGTGGACAGCAAGTACTTTGGTCGGGGAATCATGATTGCTATTCTGGTCAACACACTCAGCATGGGCATCGAATACCACGAGCAGGTAGGGGCATGGGCAAGGCATGGTTCTTGGGGCTGGGGATCCTCTGTCTTCCTCTCCTCCCACCCCGAGTTCAGTTTCCTCTCTTGTGTTATCAGCCTGCATGGCCAGGAGGACAAAAGGGAGCTGCACCAATGTGTGGGAACTCTTTGGAGGATGAAAGCCAGTGAATGTCATGCAGTCTTGGAGTGTGGAGGTTGCCTAGGGGCAGGGTCTGAGCTGGGTGTGTTTTATCGGAAGGGTTCCGAGAAGAGATGGGCTTTAAAGGATATAAATGAGTGGCGAGCATCAGATGTGGGCAAGACCTTTTTGGAGGGACAAGTCATAGATAGGGGGTGGGTGGGGCCCTCTGGCATCCACCTGACTCAGTAATTAGGGGTGTGATTGACTGGTGGCAGGAGGGGGCTGTGCAGGTAGAGGTGAGGAGTGGAGGCCTGGAGCCGGCGCCTGGGGAGGGCAGAGAGGGTGGCCATCTGCTTCGGGCCTCAATTCTGGGAGCCGTGCTGTGAGCGGGGAGGGCACTGCTGGGTAGAGGAGAGCTCCCAGCTTGATGAGGGGACTTGAAACCTTTGCGTTTGAGGAATCGTTCTAAGAACCAGGATGTTTAGTCAGGAGAAGAGGAGGCTCAGCAGGGACAGGCGAGCTGTCTTCAAATATTTGAAGGGCTGTCATGTGGAAGAGGGAGCAGGCTTATGTTGTGGGGCTGATAGCTACAAGCAATGTGATTTGGGCTGAGGCGGGGAAGTGGCTGTTTTCTCTCTCAGAGCCATGCAAAAACAGAAGGGGTGGCCTGGGGAACCCCACTGACCCCCCCACTCCCACACTGGAGATGGGAGCAGGTATCATAGGGCCTCACAACTGGCTATGGCTTCATCCCCCACAGGATTTCTTCCAGAAGTCAGCCCTTCCCCCGGTTTGGCCTTTGAGGTCACCCCCTTGGCAGATTCTTGAGAAAGGAGGGAGGCCAGCAGCAGGTGCTGTGGTTTGCAGGAGAGTCAGGGCTGCCAGAACCTGACCTTCTCCGGTGTAGACAGGAGCCAGACACTGCCCCAACCCCTCAGCTCGTGGGTAGAAGCCTGTGGGAGCCAGAGGTGTGGAGTGGGTGCACACGTGTGTGCATGCATGCACGGTGTGGCAGGGGCGGGGTAACCACAGGGAGGAGTGCCTATTGAGGAGTGCAGGGAATGGGTCTCAGTTGAGGTGGGGTATCCTAGGTCCAAACCCGGGCTGGAGCAAACATGTGATGTTCACTTTTCAGGGGGTTCTGAATCCCCTTACCATCCACCCCACTTAGCTCCTACACCACTTGCCTTGTCCAGCCGAGTGCACCCCAGCCCCAGCCCTTTCCCCATCACCATCATACCATATTGACACCCCTTCCTTTTGTGTCAGTGACCCCCACCCAACCAGCTATACCCTGTTCCTTTCCTGGGGTGGGGAAAGCAGAGAGTGTGGACAACTTGGGTCCCACCTTGGGTAAGGTGGGGGGAAGTGGGGGGGTCAGGACACTAGCTGCAGGGTCAGCAATGGCATTTTGGTGGGTGTGTTGTGTTTGGGTGCATGGGGCGTGGGTATGTGTGCTCACGCCTGCTCAGCCAACCTCTGGGGAAGGGGTGTTCTGCTCTGCCTGGCTGGCTGGGGCACGATCCAGGTAATGGCAGCTCCTAATCTCCCATTATGCTGGCTCCCAAGCCTGAACCTCAGCCTCCTCTCCCTCACCCCGGTTCTGGCCACGGTCAGATGCCCCTTCCCCAGGGGGTGCCTCCTCCGCTGCTGATGGAGGATTTGACTGTGCTGGAAAGAAGCTGAGTCACAGAGACAGAGGCCAGATGAAGCTGCAGCAAGAGGGCTTTCAGTTAGACATCAAGAAAGACACCCCCTTGGGGAAGAAATAATAGCAATAAGTCAGGGACGACTGCAGCATCTCCTTACCCAAGTTCCTGAGGAGAGTGGGGACAGCCTCTGAAGCCTTCAGCAGCAGGGAGTCCTACTCAGTGGTGGCATAGAGCCTGCTCCAGGGAGGAGTTTGTCCCAGTACCTGGTTGCTAAGTGCCCCGTGGGGTGAGTGGGAGTCCCCAGCAGGCCAGGCAGATGACTGACTGCGGCCCAGCAGGCTCAGAGGCTGGGGGTGGGAGAAAATCCCAGAAGCAGCCACGGTCCTGTGCTTATAGGCACTGTGGCGTGAATGTCCCGCCATCTGGGTCCTGGAGCCTGAGCAGGCTTGGGGGTTGGGGGCAGGGAAAAGTGCAAGGAGACATGGAGGCCAAAAGACAGAGACACAGAGGGAGACAGAAAGAGAAAGGGAGAGACAGAGATGGGGAGATGAAGGCAGAGAGCAGGATGGAGACCTGGGCAGGGGGTGAGGGGGTGGGGGAGAGATAAAAAGACAGGAAAGCAGAGACACAGAGATAAGATGGTCAGAGATATAGAGAGGGAGATGGAGACTTGGGGGAGGAGACAGATATAAGTGGAGGTACAGAGATGTAGGGGTGACAGAGACAGTTATGGAGAGGAAGCCCAAGACAGACCAAGACCTGGATGCAAACAAGGACAGACCGGGCAGTGACCACGAGACAGAGGCTCTGATGGAGCCTCAAATGGAGGAGAGGAGGAGCCAGTTGAGCAAGAGAGCTGAGAGACACAGCAAGGAAGAGCGTCTGCAGATGCTAACAGAGGTGAGGGCCAGAGGCTCATGGTTTCCCTGCAGTGCTCATAATGAGGCAGTTGTGTCCATTGATCCTGGTATTGATCAGACTGGGGGGCACTGGAGAGGGTGTTGCTGGTGCTTCCCTGGAGGAGGAGCCCAACCCTCTTTCCAGCCCTGTCCTCTCCCACCGTCACCAACCTTACCCTTCCTTCGGTTTTCCTGTCAAGAACAGAGATACTCCTGCTGCACTCTGCCAAGCTCTTGAGTGAGGAAGCACTCATTTTGTCATACCCCACCCTGCCCAAGGTGAACCCCATGCTGTTCACACTGTCCTGCTTTCCCCACCCCTTAACCCACCAGCTGGTGGAAAAGTGTCAGGGCTGGTTTGTACAGAGAGACTGGTGAGGAGGACAAAGACACAGGACTCTGAGAAGGGAGCAAGACTGCGGCTTGAGGTCGAAAGTATAATCTGATAGAGGGTAGGCATGTGTGTGCCCCACCCACTAGGGGGCAGAACCCAGAACAGGGAAATTGCGAGCTATCCATCTGTCCATCCATCCATTCCACACATGTTTTCTGTGCCTCACAGTTGGGCCTAAGCAGTGGCATGCTAATAAATGTTTAATAATCAGCCCTTTAAAAAGAAAAAAGGTCCTGATTTGTGGTATTTGCACTGTTCACCAATTTCCATGGTGCAAATGCTCCCACTGTGGCTGGTTTCAGATTCCCGATGTAATGTCACTGCATGTGGAGTTAGGAAGAGAAGTGCATAACCAGACACTCTAGTACAACACTGGGCCAAGGCACTCTGTCCTTCTTCTCAAAGACCCCACAGACAAATAAGCAGTCACACTTACTTGATGTAGTGCCTGCTTGGAAAGGATGCTCAGAGGAGTCGCCTGTGACCCAGACTGGAAAAAGGATTCAAGAAGGGCTTCAGTAGGATATGACCTGGGAGCTGAGTTTGAATGGAAAGTGGGATGTAGCTAGCAAAGGGTGGAGGGTAGGGCATAGCATAGGGGAGGACTGGAAGCACCAGACCCCCAAACAGAGATTTGTAAGGAATTCAGAGTGAATTGGGCACTGGGTTGGGGCTGGGATGGCAAGCAACAAGAAATGAGCTTGGAGAAAGCTCAGAGCCAGGTCCTGAGAGGAAGAGGATAGAGTTTGGATTTTATCCTGAAGGTGATAGGGTGCCAACAAACGTTTTAAGCAAGTCCATGGTATGTGTTTATATTGTATCAAAAGTCTTCCAGAAGCCACGTGGGGAGCAGAAGGGAGTGAGAGATGGGAGGCAAGGAGGCCAGTGAGAGGGCTACTGCCATAATCCAGCCAGTTCAAATACCCTGTCCCTGGAGACAGAGAGAAGCATGCTGGGAGGAGCTGGCAGTGGCTGAATCTGTAAAACTCAACTCCAGTTGGATATTTGTGAGGTGGCAGCAAGGATGACACCCGGGTTTCTGCTTCTGGGAGGAGCCCTGGGGCTTGTGCATATTTGGGCTGGAGGGCATTGCTTATAAACTGCCTGTGGGATGCCCAGGGTGCCTTTGGCGTACAGAAGAGAGGTATCTCCTGGAACCTGTCTGGCTGGGTATGCATGAGGGCAAGGCCCTCCAGGAGGGTGGGGTCTTAAGGACACAGGAACTTCGTAATCACCTTTCTTCCTAGTTCTGGATTGCTGAGAGCTGGGGCCAACCTCAAGCTCAAGAAGAGAGACAACAGCAGGTTGGGGGGGGGCGGGGGGCACCCAGCCCACTGGTATCCTGGGTTGCAGAGAAGAGAGAGGGAGGATCCAGAATAGACAGTCTTTCAGGCCCGGAGAGGACAGGGCAGGTGATGCTTCTGCTCGTTTCTCAGACTCTGGGCCCATCCTGTCACTCTAGATACATGTACAGGGAGGGTTTCTATTTATAAGTGAGTGAGGTCAGCTGTTCAAGGCAAGGGAAGCTGGGGGTGGGGTAGGGTGAGGAAGAGACCAGATGTGGTAGGTCTTAACTTTGAGGGGATTCACAAACTCCTTTTGGATTCTGGTAAAAGCTGGGGCCATCTCTCTAGAAGATAGATACACACATGGATACCCCAGTGTAGACTTCGAGGACAGGAGTTTACAGACAGCTGTCCTATTCCTTGGGCCTCCCAGGAGCCCTTGGCCTGCAGACAGAGGAGCTGGGACTACAGGCCAAATAAGACTTTGGAGGACAATCTCTTACAGTTGACTTGGCCCCAGACTTTCAAAGGTTCTCCACATGTGGGAGGGAGAAGGGTGCTTTTTTGGAGATGGCCTACCAAAGGGGGCTTCCTCTGGCTCTCCGGCTCCCCCAATTCATCAAACATGGGGAGTGCCTCCTGTGCACAG